GGTTGTAGGTCTGGTTTGTTCAGTCTGTTGGTTGATGGGATATAGCCGATGTGAATGGGTTGTAGGTCTGGTTCGTTCAGTCTGTTGGGTTAATGGGATTCAGCCGGTGTGAAGGGGTTGGAGGTCTGATTCAGTTAGTGTGTTGTGTCAATGGAATACAGTGGATTCGTGGATTGAAACAAGAGATTGATACATAACACTGATAAAAACTATATACCTTTTTAACCTTCAACGATTTTTTGAATTCTTGAAGGTCTATTTGTCGATCTTCTCCCGCGATGTCAGTGAATTGCTTTTCGATCCACACCAACCATCTTGTGTCCTCGTCCATACTACAAATGAGTTAAAAGGGCCACTACTGTTAAATACAAATCGAAGTGATGTATTTTCAACAAATTGTACAGGTCGACATAACACAACTCCTACTGCCATATACACACACATGTATAGCACACGCAGTGCACAAAAATACGCACCTCGCAATACGTACCTGGCACACACGCGCGCACATCATCACGCAACTCTTTAACAAGACCTGTCTATGATTATGGCGTCATTACATCGAATTACCGACTGATCGCGATGACACTTGTCGCCGATGCAAATAGGATATTATCCTTCATGACATCATAGGGTTAGTTTCATTCATCTCCTTAGTATCGTAGGCGACGTCATATAACCAAATCCACATGCCAGAAATGTACATCTAAATAGCGTAATTTGTTATCATAATCAACTTATAATCTCGTCTTTACCTGTGCGACTATGCCACCCAGTCCAGTATAAGAGAAACTTGTAGCTAGTGTGTCACTTCCGGTGTTTGTCGCATCAATTGACGTGATTGAATTTGTTCTCCATAGAGAAATCTGACAGTTAATATTTCATAATACCGTACGGTCCAACAGGATGATAACAATAACACAATATGTACAACACACTCTCCCCATAAGCTTCAAACATAACAACCACAGTTAATTACTTCCACTGTGAAACCACCTGCTGCTCAGCCTGAACATAAACAACGTATTCGCAGCGAACAGCGATGATTTGTGGGTCAGATAATTACACTGATACAATTCATAACCATACTGCACATATTATGTAATGGAAATGTCATGAATTTGTTTTTGCGTATCTGTTAACCAACTTAATTAACTGATTATTAGCGAATTGCTGTGTTATGTCTGTCATCGTGTAGGCCTATTTGAAGTTTTGGACGGAACTTGGCTCAGTGGTTTGGAACTAATTACAAGATACCGTCGCTATTCTGACATCCGTAGTTATTAATGTAGTGAACGATTACTCAAAAGATATGACGTATTCAGTACTTAGTGTGATTGGCTTTATGATTGAAGGTTACGCCCTAGAGTCTTTTACTGTTTTGTAATTGGTTAGAGTTTTGAAAATGAATAAAGAGAGTTTGAGTTGGTCTTGGCGAATACTCCACGACAGACGCAGCCTTGGGCAGTCGAGTCCAGTCTGAGAGAGAGAGAGTCCAGGGGCGAGCCTTGAGGCAGTCCAGTCTTGGGCGAGTCTTGGTTCAGCCTTGTGAGAGTCTTGGGGACTTTTCCCCAGGGCGCTGTGTCTTATAGAGTGCTCCAAAAGATCGACTAAGACGAGAGCTGAAACGTATTTCGTTGTGTGCGTCTTATTTGACTGTAAAGTTAAAGTGACTTTCCCGATCCCGTACCTCAAGGGGACGAGATAGAGAGACGAGACGAGTTTCCCCCCTGACAAGGGTGGAGAACCCGAGAGAAAGGAATTTCCCCCTGATAGAAAAGTCACCCATTTAACTATTACGTAACATGTTATAGATTGGGCATTGTGTTTGCATTAAGCACATAACAATGGCATAAGTATGGGTAAATATTTTCGCATGACACTTTGCGCGATTTGTAAGTTTCTGCTCTAGATATTAGATACATATTGCTGGGCTATACACATAGTTTGAGATTTCACTTAGAATTCGAAGCTACTCAAAGCACCGAGTATGTGAACCTCGTTTCCATCTTGAACACATGAAAAGAAACTATATTGAACAAAGTGAATTTTTCCATCATTTTATATATTTTAGGCCCTTTTCTTTCTTTTTCCTTTTTGATTGGAAACGAAAGAAGAAGAAAAAGGAATGAGTCTGCCGCTGGTGGCGCAATGTTCGGATGGAATTTCTTTATGTACTTTCTCTTTGAAAGAAAAAAGAAAAAAATCGCACCGTCGCTTCCATTTTAAAGCGGTCATAGCTAGTATTTCGAGCATTTTTTATTCAAATATAACCTCATCAACATTAACTATACTTGCCTGGGCAAATATTTTCGCCTGAAACGTTAGCGATTTGTAAATTTCTAACCCAATACGAACAAAAATATTACGTGAACGATGTGAACATTAAGGGTTGAGTATTCACAATTTTATTAAAACACTTAAAGTCACGTGATGGGAGCTGTATTACGGTGATGCACGATGCAAACTGCAATGAGAAATAACACACACAATATTCAGCAAGATGGCGACGTATTTGACATTTCGTCCAGGGTCCCGATAAAGTTATCTTGTTTAGTAATCCCTGAAGTTCGCTTGACAAAACTTAATTTAACTGTATAAAAAAAGATCGATAGTTACAGCTATTTCCGCTTTAAAGAAACTTTGAACAATATTATTGTATTTTATTATAACTTCCTCGATTACCAAAACGTTCAAAAAACTGCGAGCGGGTAGATAATAAATTCAACAAATAAAATATATGGAACAGACAGAACCAATGATATTATCTCTTGACTAGAATTGTGCCTGAACGAAATACGCGGAAGGATGTTTTCGAATGAAACTGATGTTGTCTAGTGCTACCAGAAAGTTATAAGTCGCATTGATTCATTAATGGCTGGAACGTCGTTCGCTTACACCTGTTGCTACTGTAGTAATCTTGGTGTTTTATTTGATTTTTATGATGGAAAGATGTCAACGAACGTTAACTCCATTTGCGAGTCACCATGTACAGATGATTGGTAACATTTGTTCATTTCTTTTCCAAGCTTTAAAAAAATCACGCATTTGTTAAATCCAGGCTAGATTATTGCAAATTACTTTTATATGCAATACCTTGGTGTCAGAGAGACCATCTGCAATCGGCTCAGAATGATGTTGCGAGAATTACTAGTATCACGCGTACCGAAAAGTCTGATCACATCACACCAATTTGGACAAGTCTACCCTGGCTAAATTTTTGGATCGCACCAAGTTCAAGGTCATCGATCCGTCGAATAAAACAGATAACAAACATATTCGCATTCAGCACGCTAAAACTTTCCGTAAATTGGCATTATTACTTTTTTATTATATTTATCCAAATTTTCTTTTCAAAGAAATAAATAGTATAAATAAAAATAAAGTAAAAATAACTAACGTGAAGTCATCGCATGATTTCAAATACTATGCTATTATTGAATATTTGGTACCATCTTTAGATGATAAGTAATGATTTACTTCCCGTAATTAAAAATATTTCATATATCAAGTATTCTATTATTTATTTATTATTATGCAGATCAACGGATCTGGAATAAGAGTAAGTTTCAGGCATCCCTTGGTAATCCGCTACTCGTTGCCACAATGATCATGTGATTTTTGCCGGCGTACACCGAGGACAGGATCAACGCAGTTCTACGTAACGCCATATTCCTAACCCTGAATGCAGCAAGTTTGACAAGTTAAGTGGGCAGTAAGTATATTTTCTCTCTGCTTAAAGGGCTGTCAACCACGTTAGTCGAACCCGAAACATTGCTAATGCTAGGCCGACACGTTAACGATTATAGACAATATACTTAGTGTAAGGGCTGTTAATTCACGTTCATCAAATCGTGCATGGATATCGCTGCTCTAGCTTTTATAACAGTTTGGATAATCGTATTTATTTATTTTATGGTTAAAAGGTGTTGTTCAATTTGTTGAGCCTACGCAGTTTTTTTAAGCTCGAATCAGATGCGCGTCACTGTAAGGCGAATTTGTTACTGTGACTTTTCAGAAACATACATTTCAAAAGTAGTTGTGGTTTCGATTTCTAGTTTAGCAAATTGTCGCAATCATTGATATTAAATAACACATTTCCTATAAATCGTAGAGGACAGCAAAAAAGATACAATTCAAATGATCGTTTAGTTAAACATTCTGACATATGACCGTTAGCTAAGTCCATTAAGCCGCCATGGCATAAAAAAACACGCATCCGAAACACCAGCTGGTCACTCCACATACACTGTCAAATATCAATACATGTACGGGAAAAAATATCTGAACAAAATAACAAAATATAGAAAGTTTCACAACAAAGATTAACGAAGATAAATTATTATTAGATAGTTCGATGGAAACTAAAATCGGACAAATCTACGAATGGTTGCACATGCTGGATGGCACTGACATACCACAGCAGTTATCACCCAAGCCGGGTCGTCATGACATAAGCGGCTGTTACATGCAGTCTTAACAAAAACTGACACACATTTTATATTTTTACAAAAATGCAAGCAAAAGACAAATAAAAAAAAAAAACCTTATATAAAAACGTGTGTTTTTGTTTGGCTGCCAATAACAGCGACATTTGACATAAGAAATGAATGTTTGTCACGGTGGCGATCCGATCACATAATTATTAAGCATAAATATCTTAAATACAAATATAAAATACATTGCCATTACTACCAACCTGCTATTACTCAGTTTTCGTCTCAAATACGCTACTGATGACCTTCGAGTTTGTTTCAGTTGTTTATTATGTGACGTCATCAAAGATGCGTTGTTTTCATTCCTCTGCGTGGAAGACGTATTCCTGCTTGTTATCGACTCTGGTAATGTAAACAAATAATGTCGTGTGTTATTATATCCCATTGTATCCGTGTAAACGACGCCGGATCTGACCTGGTTTGTACACCGTCGTCATTTATTTGGGCTAACGTGAACTATACCGATAATATAAATGATGCAACGATCATCAATGTACGGTAAGTGCATGGTGGTGTTATTTCTGACGGTCACTATACATTGTATTACGTTACCGACCACGTCCAAGCTCATTCTAACGTAAGGACATGGACAGGGAGGTTATTTTTTCACAAGTGCTCCCAATAAACCAACGGATGGATGAACAGACGAAGGAAAGAGG